CAATGAGTAAATCTCCAATCTATTTCAGATAAGTCTATGCTATTTTCATATATCTATTTCCATATTTCAGATGAGTTTGCTATGTTCATTTTGTATTTTTTTTCCTTTTCATACTTTTATTTAAAATGGATATACCTGACTTTATACCTCAGTTTTTTACTCTGTCTTTAAGTTTCAGGGGCGTAATGGCACTGGGTTAGAGAGTTATGTATAAAATTCATAATCTGAAACACCACTCTGAAGATAAGATATTTTATTGGGCCCGTTTTTATATAGTGTGAATTTGTGAAACGCCACTCAGGTTCCTTTTTTGCATTCCAGCCAACTACTTGGTTTATTCTCTTATTTTTCCAATTTGCCGATTTACGGAGTATATATTTTTATCTCCAAGCCCTGATTTTGTAGAGTCTATTGGTATTCTTAAGAATATATTTTAGAGCTTTTTAAAGTTGCATCAGTTTGGTTGTTGTGATGTATATAAAACAATCTTATTTTACTGTGATGCATACTTATTATTCTCAATGACAAGGTGTAATTTAGGATGCGTTGGCCCTCCAAATACTTCTATGTAGGTCAATGGTACGCTCAAGCATAGATTCATTCTCTAAGGGTTTTCAAAAGTTTTCTTAAGTAAGGAAATTATTTAACTTATAACAAAATCTTATTAGATTAATTCTAATTTTAATTTCGCTAATGGAACCTACAATATGTTTTGGTCGAGAGTAGTGACTGGCTGACTGTTAAAGATGTTATTGCTGCTGCAGTAAATCTTTTGAGTATGCATCGTGTTTCGGATCAAGATCTGTCCAGAGCCGTTTGATTTGCTGATACGAGAATTTGTTGGTGGAAATGGGGGTGAAGGCGTCTTCCTTAAGGGCTGTGAAGGGGAAGGTTCCGGCGGGAGGAGCAGGAAAAGAAACTGGATTGTTATTGTTATGGGAATCATATGCCTATTTTGGGGTCAATGTGTGGAGAAGAAGGGTTTTGGATTGGGTTTTGGGGTTCTGCTGTTGTGCATTTGGAGGTTGTCTTCAATGAAGATTTACAGAGAGGGGTTAAGTTTCTTGAGGCAATGAGGATTGCCAAGAGAAGGAAAAGAAGATGTTCTTGAGAAGAAGAGGAGTGTTCTGGAGGTAAGAAATTCCTCGTTTTTGCACTAAGAGGAATTTTCAATTATGTGCTTAATGTGTTCGGTGATTTGCGGCTGTGAGATGTGCCAAGTATAAATGTCAATGGAGCTCCATGATTTTCATATATACATATTAATAGCAATGAGGACTTTCTTCAAAAAAAAAGTAATGAGGACTTTGTTTTTATTCTATTATTATTGAGAATGAATTTTTTTTTGCCTATCACGAATGATATTATATTGGGAGTTTTATTTAATTTGTACCTTTTCATCTCATTAAGTTTACATGGCAAGTAAACTAAGAAAAAGTAGAATTACAACATTAGTATTACATATGGATTTTTGAGAGAGACTGAGAGTATTAAAACCAAATGTAATTATTTATTCATTTATTCATTACGAAAACATTTACAATTTCTCGATAAAATATGTATTTATAAACATTTATTCTCGACAAATGTATTTATTGAACATTTCCCGATAAAAAAATTACATAATGTGTGTTCATTATAAATAAAGAATACATTCTATTTATTTTATTCGGTCATATGTGAATATGTTTCTACCATTTCATTTATCTTTATCATATGTTGTAAGATGCTACCTTTGTAATTGACTTTTACTAACTTCTCTCATCCTTATTCTTATGAAGTCTCATCCCGCACGTGATTGGAATGGTTTTGCACCCAACAATATATGTATACCATCAATTATTACTTCTGATCTTATTATTAACACACCATGTGTCTTTCTAGGATAGATATCGTTTAGACGATTACATGATTCTGTATGCTTAACAATTGCATTGTTCTATGTAATACAGAGTAAATGATATTGGGCATTTTCTCACACGCGCATAGCGCGTCGAGAAACTAGTACACAAATAAAATTATTTACACCTTCGCTCATTTGATCATCAATTTATCAGGAATTCCAATTTTAAAGTTTCTATTTTGATCTATTGCATTTTTATTCATCTTCTTATTAGTTTAATTTGAGAAGAAGAGAGAACTATTAGATTTGGAGATATTTTGGACTTAAAATAAAAACATTTTTAAAATTAATGAGTAGTGAATGCTAAGAGAAACACTAATTGGCGCGTCGGGTAATACCCAAATCGGCTGTATTGGCTAATTCTGTTGAAATTTATGAAGTCCCAGCAGAAGTGACTATATTTACTAATTCTGTTGCTTTATGGAAAAAATGTTTAAAATATATTTTATTAATAAAATAAATAAATAAAATATATGAAAAATCAACTAAAATGGTCCTCTACAGTAATTCAGTCAGTGCAATCAGAAAAGTAACTTCAACCTTAATTTTTCTTATTATTACACAATTCAACGTGTAAAATCACAAGTTACGTGTATGATTAAAAAGTTGACTGATAAGTCTGATAATTAGAAAAACAAAGTCAAACGGGTTCCAAAGCTCATCAGTAATAATTTGTTCCTGTGATGGAATGTTGTACCAAGAGCAAGGGTGGGATCCAACAATCCAAGTAGTCATATATGTGTAAGTTGTGCAACGTAACACATTAATGTCTTAGAGTCCGTTTTGGTAACCTTGAAATCAGCTGATTCAATTGATTATACTAAAATTTATGAAGTTATGGTTGAAATGACTGTCATGACTTATTCCGTTAATTTATGAATAAATTAAATTTAAATATATTTAACTAATAAAATAAAGAAAAAATTGTGTGAAAAAAATAGCTGAAATTGTCATCTACAGTAACATCAGCCAATACACCCAAAAAAGTAACTACAACCTTACTTTTTCTTATTATTACACAATTCAGTGCCCGAAATCAAAAGTTACGTGTTTGATAAAAAAAGTTGGCTGATAAGCCGAAAAACAGAGTCACCAAACGGACTCTTAAAGTTGAATTTATTTTATATAACGGTACTTTCACAAACAAAACAGATGAAGGAAGTTGTCGTAAGTTTCCGATATGAGTAGGTGATGCGATTATTATGAATATATATTTATTTGGTTGATACTAAATTAATAAAGCAGATAACTAAAAATGATTTTGAACCATATAAACCTTATCAAATTTGGTATGGCATTGTTTTTTTAGGACGGATCGAAAGGAAAAGATGAGACTATCTTAACAAGATGATATTTTTTTTTAAAAAATAAGATGATATGTTTGATTTCCCTGATGTTTGATTTCCCTAATTTCCTTGGATGGAGCTCACTTCGTCAAATCTTGCATGCCCTCAATTATTTTAAGAGAATATTATCCGAAATATAATAGCACTAAAAAGGTTTGAAAATTCCAAAATATGATTGTCCTAAGACTAATTACTGTTATATTTTGGCAGTACCGGACTTCAAACATGACAATATTTTCCAAACTTTGGAGTAATTACTTATATTTTGAGAATAAAAAAACATGATAGTCCTATATATTTTGAAATTTTCGAACTATTTTAACTCTATTTCGGGAACTTTCCCTGTTTAGAGAATCACTCGGATGGGCATTTATTAGGGCATCCTCATTGTAAGGATTATTAAGAGATTAAATTGATGACATGGCGGATTTTTTTGGAGGAGTATCATTGAGAGACATTGATTATTTAATGAGATTATTTGCTAGAATAATCCGGGATCAAAATATGAATCCGGATTATTTTAAGATTATTTGAAAAGTATATGTAATACGTTAATGCATGGTTGAGAAAAAAGCGGATTATTTGAAGATGATGGTTGAGATGTATAAACGGATTTTGAGATTAATTAAAAATTAATTATGTAACAATATTTAAAAGGTAAGAATCATAGAGTATATTGATTTTTAGAGATTACGAATGGTGATGCTCTTAAATAAATCTTCCGAATAACAATATAATGGGATATCCATGTACCAAGTGTCTATTTGAAAATTGTCATCTTACATTTTCTGTAAAAAAAGTTTATTAAAGGGTTTTATACAGACTACTAAATTAAAATTTATTTACATAAATATGACTAAGAGTTATTACAAAGTAGTGTCATGGTAACTTAGGTTTAAAATTTTAATATAAGTTACTATGATTTGATTACATTTTAGTCCTATATATGTAAATAAATTGACTTTTCTTAATTAATGTGAACTAATTTTGATTAACAATTTAAAATATAAAATTATTTGAATATGAAATTATTTTAAAATATTCCTTATTGAAAATATTTTCATAAATATATAAAAATTTCTAAATTACTAGTGTATATTAATATAATAATTAAAACCATTGTCTGAATTTTGAATGTTTTTACTTAGATTTGCTTCGATCTCAAATCAAATCAAATCACATCAAATTGCACTTTAACAAGTCAGACTTCAACATTTGTAAAATACATATAGAGCAAATTAAATCAATTTAGACCAGATTAAACCAAATCACATTCAAACGACCAGAGTAGACAAGAAAATGGTTTTTTTTACAAGAATATTACTAAAATAAAACATATTTACATAAATATGACTATTCATTACTACAATATGGTGTTGTGGTAATTTTTTAAGCTCAAAAGTTGAACATGAATTAGTACTTAATCACTACTAAAAAAGGAACAAGATCGACCCGGAATAGTCTGGAATTAATCTTGTGTCTTCTGATTTTGATACCGAAGAAACCAACATCCAACGATTTAAATTACCGAAAAAGCGCACGCATCATTACGTGGAAGCCGGTTACTCGATCCCATGCATGCATGCTGACACGTGTCCTCATCAAAACCCAACGTGGGCCGTAAGAACAACGCCAAAAATCGCAATCCTTCTTATTACGGAAACACCCCTCAACCTCATCACCGATCAAGTAACTGCTCCCTAGTTCATTTAATAATTTATTTATTTACCACTTACAATTCAAATCACTCGGATCGACGAACAAAGAAGAACTGGATCCACCAAAAAGATGATGAATGTTTTGGCTCTCTCCTTAGTCCTCACCACACTGGTGACGGCCGGAGTTTGGTCTCCGCCGCCGCAAGAGAAAACCCACGGCCAGGAGGATGTGATCGTCAAAGAGGGGCACAGGGTTGTTGTCGTGGAGTACGAGAAAGATCACGGCTGGAACACCAAGGTCTCCATTTCTCCACACGAAATTACGGAGGAGCATAAAAATCCCACGCCGGTGCCTGAAATAGAGGAAACGGCGGATGGCGGTGGAAGTGATGATTCTCATCTCTCGACGAAGAAGAAGACGGCAACCCCTAGAGAGCTCGTTTGTGACGCTTATGGTAAGTGCAAGCACAGGATCGCCGGTGCTCTCGGCCTGACGAAAGACGCTGCGGCGGAGAAGGCCCTTGATGTGGCGGGGAAGGCAAAAGAAGGGGCGGATATAGCGTATGAGGCGGAGGAAGGATCTAGACACGCTGTTGGGGATGTGGCGGGGAAGGCCGGAGAATGGGCCGCAGAGAAGGCGTATGACATGAAGGAAAGGACTTCGCAAAACGTTGGGGAGGGGCTAGAAAAGGCGAGCCAAACTGCGGCGGAGAAGGCACAAAACGCGGAGAAAGGGATGAGGCATGTCGTTGGAGATGGCCTCGAAAAGGGGAGAGATGGTGTGGCGGGGATGGCCCGAAAGGCGTATGACCTGGAGGAAGATACGAGGGATGCCGTCGGCGAGGGGCTCGGAAAGGCAAAAGAAGGTGTTGTGGAGATAAGCCGAAAGGCGGCAGAGATGGCCGGAGACGCGGCTGAGAGGGCGTATAATGTGGAGGAAAAAACGAGGCGTTCAATCGGAGAGGGGCTGGGCAAGGCTGGAGATATGGCCCGGGCCATGGCGGGGAAGGCATATAGCGCCGAGGAAGGAACGAGGCAGGCGGTCAAGGATGGCATCGAAAAGGCGAGAGACACGGTAGTGGATAAAGGTCACCGGGCGGCGCAGAAAGTGTACGAGGTGGAGGAAGGAGCCCGGGAATCGGTCAAAGAGCAAGTATCCGCGGCGGCCGGGGAAGTGAAAGCAATGAAGAGGGAAGTTAGGGAGAAGGTTGAAAAAGTCAAGGAAACAATGAAGGACAAAATAGTCAAAACCATGGAGAAGGTATCGGGTATGGCTAATTTGGTTGGGTTAGCAACGGCTTATGGGATGAGTGTTTGGGTAACATTTGTATCAAGCTACGTGCTGGCCCGGGCATTACCCAGGCACCAATTTGCGGGTATCCAATCCAAAATATACCCGGTTTATTTCAAGGCTATGGCTTATAGCATTGGGACAGCGCTTTTAGGGCATTTAGTAAGTCAAAGTCAAAGGGTTGACAAGTTCATGGGGTTCAACCTTCTGCTTCCACTCGTCATGGTCTTGGTCAATTTGCTCTACTTGGAGCCACGCGCCACAAAGGTACAATTTGCTTTTATGTGGTAATTAAATAATTGTGTTATTTTTGTAGACATGTAAATTTTACAAAACAAACAGAGTAGATTTCAGTAATTTAATATGGATTTCTAAAGTTTAATTGAATTGAGGAATGTTTTATGGGTTATAATATGATATATAGCGTTTCCACATATATTTATCTGTTTTGCTTATCATCTTTTTGCCAAGCGACCCGGCCGAGCGGACCGGGAAGCGACCGGCTGAGTGATAGGGTCACGGGTCAGCCTAGACCCGGTGGGTCAACCCGCAGAGGTGGAGACAGGGAGGGGCTGAAGGGGGTCTCGGCCCCTGCAGGGAAAAAATTCTTAAACATATATTATGTATAAATACGTATAAATACGTTTAATCGATATAAAATATATTTATATTTTAAACATTGGCCCCTGCAATAAATTTTTAAAGAGAAAATTCAATAAGAATGAAATTTTTAAAGAGAAAATTCAATAAGCAGGAGTGAAAAAGTTTTGAAATAAATGTTTGAAATTTCAAAATAAGACTACAATGTTTTTATTTCCTAAATAATTATTTCCTAAATAAAAGTAATTTCTGCCCAGTTTTTTCCAAACTTCCTAAATTACTCACATTTAGAAAACATGAATATGAACGTCCTATTTTTGGAGTTCCGCCCGTAATAATCCGAAAATTTGAGGCAAATGCCAAAAGTTTCGATTATGTTGGCTGTGATTATATTGCAAATATATAGAATCAGATTAATCTAGAAGTTTTAAAGACATGAGTCACATATCATGATCTGAGTTGTTTGGTTTCATACATTTTCCCTTGAGTTCGATCATTTAGCACATAATTCACGATTTTTTTAAATTACTGAAGGGCAAAAAATGGCATATAACATCAGCCAGTATAAATTTGGCAATTTATATGTACATACTTGGGAGCCCGTAACAAATGAAAAATCGATCAATTTAGTTGGGAAAAAAACCTATAGTTTAGTTTTCAGTAAAAAAGTTGGTTGGGTTGATGATACATGTACCAATTGAACAGGCCCTTAATATAGGATTAAAAAAATGAACCATCATGAATATGTATGTACCATGTACTAGCTAGTATAGTATGTACACACGTAGTACTCCATATGATCGATATGATTATGATAAAACGACAATGATGATGAATTGAAGGTGATGTTCGAGAGGATGAAGATGGAAAAGGAAGAGGGAAGAGGCAAAGAGGGTCACGTCGACGGGTTGACCGAATCGGACTCGAACCCGGTCGGGGTTGTAACCGCAACGGCTGCAAAAAAGCAACAAGAAAGAGCGGAGGGTGTAACAAAGCAGGACATTATAAGATTGAGCAAAAGACTGAAGAGGCTGAACTCATATTCTTCTTTTCTAAACGTGACTACCCTCATGTCTCTTACGTTGTACCTTGCTAGCCTCGGCCACCGCCTTCACACACTGTGCATGTAAATTATGTACTAATTAACTAGGTTAATTATCCATCCGCATATTTCTTTTCTCTGTTCTAATATATCTACAGGTCATGTTAAATTAATCTTGTATGTGTTGTACCTTCTTCTCCCCATATATATGTTCTCTGGTCCTTTTTTAAGTTTTCATTAATGGCTGTGATTCTGTGAATGACTTGTTTATCAAGTGGTAATGACCTAAATCGACAATATGCTCACGGATTTTATGTTGTAATTAAATAATTATGTTATTTATGTGGACATGTAATTTTTACAAGAACCGATACCGAACAAATGGTTTCAGTTTGATACTATTATATATCTCCCAAACTCAATAAACTGAAACCGAGCCAAACCATAAGTCGAATTGTCGACGCCTAGTACTGATACTCCCCGCCAATCGAAACCGATAAAAAACGAATCGAGAATCGATATGCACACCCTAAGTCATCTCAAGAGGGAAAAGTGTTCCTCTATTCTACTCGGGTCCTAACTATTTGAAAGAAAATGTAGAAAAAAATCATGATAGGATCCAATTGTAAATGGGAAGTGCCAAAGTACAAAGAGGTAAAAAAAAGGCAAAATCATTGCAGAACTCAATGAACGGAAACACCTTAATGTTTGAACGGAAACACCTTAATGTTTAAATATCAACATAGCCAAGAGATTATAAAACAAATTAAATTCACATCTGTTGAGGTTTATTCCTTCAACCCTCGGGTCCAACACGTAAGCCCAGGGATTTCGAGTGGAGTGTGTATGACTACCTAGCCCAACAAGCAGATGATATGGATCAAAGAGAACAATAAGGTAGCAAGTAGTGTTGAGGTTTATTCCTTCAACCCTCGGGTCCAATACGTAAGCCCAGGGATTTCGAGTGAAGTGTGTATGACTACCTAGCCCAACAAGCAGATGATATGGATCAAAGAGAACAATAAGGTAGCAAGTAAGTGATTAGATATTATTATCCCTTAATAACTCCCTAATACAATACTTTTCGCTAAGGCTCCGTCGGCCGTTCGTCTTACAAGGCAGTCGAAGTGCTGCGAGTAAGAATGCTATAGCTAGAGTGCTAAGAATAGAAAGTTGCCAACCTTTTACAATGAAATAAATGCTTCTATTTATACCCACCAATGGGCAGGTGGCTATACTGACGTGGAAGCCTGTGGTTCGCTGGTGTCTCAACCACCAAATCTTCAGCATTAAATGCACTTCCCGCCAGAATCTAGGTTTCCCGCCTAATTAATGGGGACGTTCGCCCGCCAGGGGAGCGAGCTGGATTGCTCCAGGTGGCCTCCAAGGGGTATCGGCCGTTCGTCCCCTGGCCTGCCTCCAATGACTATGGGCTTGCTCTGGCGACGTTCGTCGCCATTCGGGTGGCCCGTGGTCCTGCTCCTTGTCCCTGCATAGACGTTCGTCGAGATGGGCTGTTGTGCCCGAACCCCATCTGAAGATGTTCGTCCATCCTGGAGGAGATGGGCTTGCCAAGCTATCTTAGTGATCTATCTGGACGTACGTCCGAAAGAAAGGGTAAATGGGCCGGCCCTCAGCTTGGGCCATTAACCCAACACAAGTCCCCCACTTTTGATGTTCTGAGCATGCACAGGACATAAGGAAGTATGATCTCCCCCGAGGGCAAGACGCTTGTGACCTGATACTTGTGTTGTTGCATCCGGTGAAGGCGTACGCTCGTGGTCACGATGCCTAACAGCTGTCGATGGCCCAGGAATCGAGGTGATGGCTGCCATCGCGACGGTGCATTTTCCGAGGAAACGCCATCATTACACTTCCATCCCACGCACATCGCGTGGGCCGGAATACGCTCCTTGCTACGTGTCAACCCCTCGTTGGTTCCCTCACCGGTGCTTCTCCTATAAATGCCGGGTTTTCCCTCTGGATTAGGGTTCCCAATTTCTGCTCTCTTGCTCCTGAATTTCCGCTGCTCTTCAAGTCCTTCCCCGCTTCTGAGTTCGGCCAATCTCATCGCAAGGTAATTTCCATCTTCTGCTTCTTTTATCTGTCTTGAATTTTTCTCCGAGATGGTCTCGATGGAGATTTCGTCGAGTTCTAACTCCGGTTCGTCGGGTTCTTCTTCGGGCTCCTCATCCGACTCCGGTTTACGCTCTTCGGGCGAGACTAGCACGTCTGGTAGCTTCGGTTCGGCCCCTACCGTGGGAACTGTTCAGGCCGGGGGAGCCCCGAATGATGTTGTTGCAATTATCCCTTGCGATGAGGGTGCTGATTCGGGAGGGCAAGATACTATGGCCCTCGATGTGGTGGACCCCGTGGCTGATGCTGGGGAGCAGGCTGCTCCTAGCGAGGACGGTCGTCCGGCTGGATATGACTCTGGGGCCGAGGCCCAGGATGGCTCTGACATCGAAATGTTTGACCTCGGGCTAAAAGTGGATGTGGAGCGGCATCTATGCCCGATCAAGAATGTCCTCTGCCATGAGCAGATTTTCTCGCCGGTGGCCCTTAACAAGCTCAAGGTGTTCTTTCCCCTTTCGTCCGTATACAGCCTCTGTGGCGCCACCCATGTGATGAGAAGACGCCCGGGGATGGTTATGGTGCTTCTGGACTCCATCGAGGCCGGGCTACGTTTTCCTCTCCATCCGTTCTATGTGGAGTTCTTCTGCTGTTATCAAATAGCCCCTGCTCAACTTATGCCGAATTCATACCGGTTCGTCTCCGCTTTCCTAGTCCGTTGCAAGGACAATGGGGTTACCGCCACCCTGGACTTGTTCCATTACTTCTACCGGCTCACCCCTCAAAATTCTGACGGCTTTCTGAGCGTCGCCGCCCGTCCGAAAAGGAGGCTGTTCAGCGGGGCACCAAGTTCCATCCACGATTGGAAAAATCGGTTCTTCTTCGTGCGGTATGCGGATGCTCGTCTGCCATTGCGGTGGAATGGCTATCCGCCCAAGATAGGGTCTCCGGATCTGACCGACGATCTGGAGGAAGACGTCAGGAAGATCTCGACGGACGGCGTCCGGCCCTTGGAGGACTTCCTCACCTTCGAGGCACTCGCCGCAGCAAGAATAGGTACCGCCCATGCTCTTAGACTTCCCCCCTCCTACGCTCGTCTCGGGGTACTGGGCGGTCCTGACCTCTGAGGTGAGTGTCCCGAGTTACTCCCGACGTTCGTCCATCTAACATTGTCATTTTCCATTTTTTCAGGTCTTCCCCCGACCCAAGAACAAATGAATCACGAGAAGCTCCTCAAGACGAGAAAAGGCAAAGGTGCTGCTGCCGATGCTGCCCTTGCCAAGGCCAAGGCTGTCCAAACGGCCGATTCCAATTCTTCCGCCTCTCAGGCCGACCGTCGCACGGTGGAGGCGGAACAGCACCTTATTGCCACGGTGATGGCACAGGGGTCCCAGGCCCCAATCCTTAATTCTGGTGCTTCCGAAGTCGTGGCGCCCTTGCAGACCGTCCATCCCCATGACGGGGAGAAGGCGAAGGACAAGAAGTCCAAAAGGCCCCGGGGGGCTTCCTTTTCGGCCCCCGAAGAGCAAGAATTGATTCTTCCTTCCCTTGGACGTCCGGCTCATGACGTCTGGCAGGAGATTGCTTCCCTGGTCGGCGTGGAAATGCCTCCCCGGACGTCTTCGAAGGCCTCCAATGCGGTTCTGGCCGCCGCTCTTCAGGTGAGACTGCCCCTTGCAGGATGGTATTTTACCGTATTCTGTTGATCTGAGGTCTCATCCTCTATGTCTGTTTTGTAGGTCGGGCTCTCCACCCTGCAAGTCGAGGCTGCTCGGGATGCCGACGCCCTCCAGGCCAAGAATAAGGCAGACGCGGCCTTGAAGAAGGCGAGGGAGGCCGTTCGTCTTCAGGAGAAGGAGACGGCAGCCAATGATAAGGAGCTGCAGGCTGCTCTGAAGGTAGCTCGCGAATCTTCCGCGAAGGTTGCGGCCCTGGAGAAGGCCGGATTCAAGCTCGTCCCAGATCTCCCCGCCCCCAAGGACGAGGCCCCCGAATGGCTCGTCGACGACTCTGGGTATCACAACTCTGGGGCCTTCATGATCGCCGCCCAGAGGTACCTTGGGGGCGCCTTTGGCGATGTATTCGCCGCTGAACTGCAGAAGCGTGCGCCGAAGGACCGGCTCAAGTTCGGGGTCCAAGTTCTGGAGAGTGCTCCCCTGGCCGAGAAGTTCTTGTATGACGTTGGAGACAGCTCCTTTGTCATTGGCTACAACGAGGGGGTGAAAGCCACACTACCGGTCTTTTCCGCTCTTCAGGGCCCCGAATTCAACCTGGCCCAGCACACCACGGACCCGGAGCTGATTCGAGCGGTGGGCAAGCTGGAGCGGGACGCCCGGCGGGAAGAAGCCAAAGCCAGGGGTGAGGTCCCGGAGCCTCCGACCCCCGAGCCCGAGGAGGAAGAAGAAACCATTCCTGGGGGGTCCCGGCCTGTTTCCCCGAATTTTGTTTAATGTAGCTTGTAATCTCTTTGTTATGATTCTGTAATATCCGGCCAGTAGAGCCGAGGAATACACAACTCTTTTCGCCCCATCATTGTCTCTACGTTCATGAACTCTTCTTGTTTCCTTTCATTGTTAGTTGTATTTCGATTTCTTGGGATATAGCCCAAGTTCGCGAGGATGTTCATGTCCATATTTCGTTTCTGTACTCCGATCTTTCGAGGTACGAACGTATCGCTTGGATCAATGTTGGTAGAGTGTAAGCCCACCTCCCACGCTGTACGTATTCAATCCTACGTACGGGGACGCGGACGTACGTCCCTGGATCAATGTTGGTAGAGATGTCCGTCATGCGGGTACAAACATAATTATCCATGCTGCGCGTGCCCCATTTAAACTTCTTAGGGCGACGTTCGTCTGCATAACTAGGAGTGGGGATATGGACGCGACGTCCGTCTTGTCGCGTGTTGCGGTGGTGCGAAGCATGGAAATATGAACGCATTCCGTGGATACGCACGTCTCCTCGTGAGCTCAGCCTGTGGATGCGGTCTCTGTGTGCCTCTATGGGGGACGTTCGTGGCACCAAACCGGGTTCCTTCGCGGTGACTGTGGGGTGGTAACATCGAGGCGCCTTTAATACCGTGGTAGGTACCGGTATCCAGGCGCCACGTGTTCCGCCGCGATTGGCGCGATCCCGCGGTGCTGT